TAGGCAGTTGCTATATAATAAACCTAAAATAATTAACATCGGAAAAGAAAATTAAAGCCTAAATCACGTACCTTTCAATACGCTGTTACAGAAGAACTGAAATATCAACCATAGCTTTTGATATGTTTTGAAAAATATATACGACAAAATATATGTACATACATATTAAGATATAAAAACACTGATGTATCCTTTCATTATGTTATTTTATATGCAACAAAAAAGATAATTTCATTATAAAGACTAAATAACGAAAAAGTAGTAATGAGGCTATTTCAGTATTGCAACTTTTAAAAAAGTTTCAAATGCTGGATGTAAACTTACCTTATTGTTAATACCGAGTGTAAATTCGTTCTGCTGTGTAAAGATAGACCAAGATTGACGATTCTGCTTCACAGCAATGGGTAATATACTCATCCCTCAATAGAAATAATTATGGTCGAAACCATTCACTCATGCATCAGTCCAAACCCTGTAACACACTTATGACGATATGACAAAGAACTTATAATTAAGAAACTACCACTTGCAGTCTAAAATTCATGTACCTTTATACGTAAGAATTCGATATTCTGATTTATATAATAATTAGTTTGATTATGTTAATCCAATAGGCAAATTGACTGAAAACAAAGAAATAATGGACTCGACCGTTAATAAGTTGTTGCCGTATGATTTATGGCGACTACAACCGACCAAGTCGACCATCAACACTCATAGAAGTATACTTACTCGATACAAATCACTCATCGGAATAATTTAAATTATTAGGATAATTTCACGTTAATGGTTAATAACAAGCCCAATGAAATTAATCGCCGGGGCTCGTACCAGACTACTGACCGTTCGTTAGATCATGGCCATCATCCTCTTAGATTATTTTCACATTTATCGTGAGATACTGTTCTTCATCTTGCTTTCGTCACTGGAAGTAGGAACTCAGTTTATTTCGGATTAGATTTAAGATACCTATTTAGTATTGCCTCCATTTCTCGGGTATGGCGCAGAGATGTGAACATGTTTAAAGACAGAACCGGTACAAAGTTAAATCTACCGAAAACTTGGAGTCTCAACAATAACCCAGACGAACATGATCTGCATAAGTCGTGAAACGCTGACCTGACAACATGAATACTACCTACGGTAGGCCTACAGTTTAGAAAAAAAATTACCACGGACTGTTTGCGTCAAAAAGGACACAATGTACTGTATCAATAATGGCAAGAATAAAATGTGTCGGCCAGAGAAGATTTTAGAATGATGACACCTTGGCAGATTTTAACTTTCATTCCACCATGCAGAATGTCGGTTTGCCAAAATAACGTCAATAGGGCACTATGTAACTACAGCACTTGATTTGTGCCTTCTAGCTAGCAAATTTCAGATAAAAGTCAATAAACGCAAGCTGCTTATACCGGCTATATACATTTACACAATATTTTAGCGATAATGATGACCTTTGAATACTACTACTACTACTGCTGCTGCTACTGTTACTAGGCTACTAATATTGCTGCTGCTACTGCTACTACCACTATAGCTATATACTATACTACTCTAATCCTACTAATGATACCGTCTGCTACTAATATTAATAACAATATTATCATCACTTTTCTTCAATTCATCTAAAGTATTTTAGTGTTAAGATCTATTACATGTGTAAATTACTTGAACATAACAATTCCCTATTGTCATCATTCTATTAATTTATAATGTCAACATCCTTAATTCAACGCAAACGTGTTGAACCATCAAACACGTAAACTACTGGTTATAATGGTATTCGGCTGTTAACCTCCGTCGCTGTATTAGCTCGAAATTATTTCACACGCTTAATCGTTAAGGCTAGAGCTGATAATTAGGAATTCATTATTTCTTTTACAAACACAATAAATTAGCCAAGAAGATATTGTTTAATTATGCGAGATATTGGAAAGTGTAAATTAATGCGATGATCAATATAATGGATGCAATGATATGCGTGTGTATGAGGCGTAGTACAACATATCGAAAAACTTCGAAGCAGTAAGTCATAAACATATATATAATGCATTGGCACATTTATGAATATCACGATTATAATATTGGAACAACAGAGGAAATTATGTTATATTCTAATTCTTATTCTTTATTGCCAAAATCAAGAGCAATAACACGTTGACAGTAAAGCAGGAACCTAAAAGTGAATTAAATCACTGTAACAACAGTTAATGTTCCTTAATCCCAAAGTAACATAAAAATAGGCCTATATATATATATATATATATATATATATATATATAATAAACTCTATTCAGTACGAGATTATTGTATTTATAAACATTTAAACTGTAAAAAAAAATCAACCAATTCAATATAACTTTGTCCTTCATCGGTACCCATTGTTTATGTCGTTTATGAAAGACAATCTATATATGATAAGATTATTACAGATACTCAATAAATGATCATTTGAATAAAATAAAATACGTTGTTTGCACGACAGTTTGTGTATACATGAATATGCAGACCTACACTTGTTTCTAAGGTGTCGTCTTGTATATCATGGAGGAATACGTTTCTAAATTTATTCCTCTTAGCTTGTATAACTTAGGCCTATATTACTACAAATTATACACAGTATATACAGTATGGCAATGTTTATTGTATCTATGTGATTTAATTTTATATTTCATATTTTAATATTACTGAGACTTAGGTTCTTTGCTACATTAAAAGAAATTGGATCTATAATGAAAGTCACCGTACGTTACACGTATATCAATTTGGTTTAGAAACACAAATTTGAAAAAAAACAAAAACAAAAAAAACTTAAAAGTTTAACATGCAGAATTAGAACCATAGTTTTCAAAGAACACTAGTCCTTCCTCAGTGGCGTGTAAGTGAGGGTAGAAGTATCTAAGCTAAAGATTTGGTTCACAATATGCCTGTTAATATCAGCAAGGTTACGGTAGTTTTTTTAAATCATTTTACCGTAGCAGACTAGATATTGATACTAAGGTTTAGCAAACACTTTTAATCATGTTTTATTTCGATGCTGCAAAGTTCCCAGTTAATCAAAATAGATTAGAATTCCGAGGCTAATAATTATGTATATTAG